TCTCTGTCTCTGTCTCTGTCTCTGTCTCTGTCTCTCTCTCTCACTGGCTGGGGCAACAGCAGCAATGAAAATACCCTCTTCAGAAAGAACCACTTGGTCTGGATTTCCTTTGAAACATTCTTTAACTACAACCAGAAGCAAATCATTACATAATTCCAGTAACTGGCAGAGTATGAAAGTTCAGGGTGAAATAGTTCATTGTTTGAAACTTAAACTATTTGGTATGAACTATTCTCCAGGTTTTAATGATACAATGTATACCAGCAAGTTTTTCCTTGGAAAATAGTAGGTAATATAACTCTAAAGATCTAGGTTTTTCACTCCCAGATTTTCTACAAAATTAGCTCAGAGGTCTTTAGGGAAATCTGTCCTCTTGATTCCTCAGTTTTCTTATTTACAAAACTGAAAGAATGCATGCTCTTCCGTTCCAGATTTGTTTTGAGACGCACATACAGTGATGGATATGAGTGGACCTTAATAAAATGGGAAATGCCACACACATGTATTTAACGAATACTAGCTTTGTTAGGACTGATGGTGGAAGGGGGTTGGATAGGGGGTAAGTGATAAAGATGAACGATATTCCGGCCCTCAAGGAGCTAAGAGCAAACCATGACGCACAAACATATTTCATTATTTAACAGACTACATTAAAAAAAGTTCTGCCTTTGAGAGAGGATAAAGATAAGAGTTTAGAGGAAAGGGAGAGTTAATTTCTGCCTTGAAGAAAATTAGATATGGAAGATTCACAAAGAGGTATTTGAACCAGGCTGTAGAGAACGTGAACATACAGAAAAAAGGGGCAGAAAGAGGCATGGTATGCTAGAGTGTAGGTAAAGGCGCAGAGGAGGTGATGGAAGCTGAGTCTGAACTCCAGGTAGCTAAGCTGGGGGGATAGGGCTAGGCAAGTGTGGGCCACCCCTTTCTTCACAGGGGAGGAGGAGGGAGAGGAGACGCAGGAGGAGCAGAGAGAAGGGAGACCCGGAAGCCCAGGGCGAGGGAAGGCAGCGGTATAGAGTTTCAAGTGGGGCCCCAGGACTGGATGAAGCTGGAAGCTGGGGAGTGTGGTGGCTCTCTGCTGTTGGGCATCTCTTCTCTGCCTCATCGTGGGACCAGTCCCTGCATTCTCAGGAGCCTTGCCTAGGTGAGCTGCTGGGCCCCTGGGCTCTGCCAATCACAGCGGGATGTCCTCACAGCCGCAGGGATGGGCATGCTCCCAAGCAGACTGAGTGTGCTCAGTGAGAGCGATTCCAAGACGTCATCAGGCTGGGCGGATGAGAAGCCTGTTCTTCCCTGCTGGACTTGAATCCAGGAAAATATGAACGACAGGCTTCTGGGAGCCATCTAGACAACACAGTGAAACAGTCCTGTGAACAAAGGCAACAAGAAGATAGGATGGGGAGAGGGCGAGAGACTAGGTTCTCACGGCCTTGTTGGAGCTCGAAACAGGCCGTGCCTGCACCCCCCTCCTCGAGACTTCCTGCTGGTGGCTGACGCTAGTTTACTCTGGGACTTTTGTCATTTTCAGCTGTCAACCAACAGCAACCAGGAAGATATCATCGAATTTGAAGACTGTGTGGTCACACATGACCTCAGAGATGGCTTTTCTAATAGTGGAATGCAAGATGTTATTATTTCCAGATTTCCTCAATCCTCAGATTATATAAGCCTCAAAATGATTAAAAATTAGAAAGTTTACATAATTTCAAGTTCCAGATTGGGCTGTCAAGCCAGAAACAAGAAACTCAGGAAGTTATGCAATTATTGTCAAAAGACTATTGTGTACAGGTGAAAGGAGTCATTATAAATATAATGAAACTCTTATAAGCTATACAAATACCACCACCCTAGAATGTAAGATTGGGTGTCAGGACGGTTGTGACATCCTTTCTGAAACTGTCCAGATGAGTGATTTCAAAGTTTTCTTCATCTTAGATACTCTATGCCATGACATGCCCTGCAACACAGCACAAAACAAACTTCCCACCTTTAATTAACCCCAACTTTTATCAGAAAAGGGGGTTTGTAGAAGAATGTCACTGAAGCAGGAGGGAATGGCTCATTGAGAGTCACTGACAGCAGCAGAAGAGAGAGGTGGGGGAGTTTAAGTAGAAATGTTAGCTCACCGAACTCACCCCCCTTTCTGACCATCAGTGTCCCAGCCAGCTTGCCAGGCAGGACAAGCCTGGGCACACGTGCTCATGGAGGAAGCTTGTCCTCAGACCACTGCCACCTGCCTTTTCCTCACCCTACTCAGCCACCTCCCTACCTGGACCCTTGCAGCCTCAGTGGGCAGTAAAGAAGGGCCATGGAGACAGACACTATGTGGGCACTGGGAGGAAGGTGGGAAGCGAGACTCTGCTGTTTTGCATTCTTCTTGCTGGCGTAGGAATCTGAATCTGTTTGATTAACCAACAAACACATTACTCTTCAGAGCATTAATTTTAAAGGAGGACTAGAACAATTAATGCTCAACCACAGAAGTCTATCCACTTTGAAGTATAGGTGAGAGCAAGTCATCAGGAAGGCCTCCCAGCCCTGACTGATGGTTGAAAGGGACAGCGAGGTGACTTCCTTCACTGAGTGGATGCAAATCTGCCAGGTCCAGTGCTTTTTAAGTTCCCAGCAATCCTGGAGCCACTGAGTTTGTTTTCCCTCCCCTCCCCACTCCCACTTAGGTCCCTGTGGCCCTGAGAGGGTGTCAGGCTATTGTCCCTGTGGCAGAGTAAGTGCTGGGAACAGTGTGAGCAAGAACAGAGCAGGACAGAGCTGGGCATCTCCAGACAGCATGCCAAGCTGGGGTCTGTGCAAAGCCTCTGTCTGCTGGGCCACACTTGGACTGAAGTCCCTGGCAGGGTAATGAGGCTAACCCTGCATCAGCAGCGGTAGAAGAGGGAGTGTAGGAAACATGGAAGTGTTGAAAGAAAAGAAAAGTGAAAAAGGAATTAGAACTGGCAGTTTACTCTTGGCTCTGATGCCAACTTCTGGTGTGAGCTTGGACACATCACTTACTCTCACTGAAAACTAAGGAGCTAGGTGGACAAGAGCTTGCAAAACCACCCTTTGCACTTCTAGAGTGTTGTCATTCTGCGAACAAGGACAGAAGCCTATCCAGAGAGCGCTCAGCATAGTCGTAGGGTTGAACTCTTCTTGGGTCAAGATGAGTGAACTGGAGGCTAAATAGGACTTGGCTTCTGTTCAGGACTATTTTATTTCTGGGTCCTCCACTGAGGCAGACAGGATCTGCTTGGAGAGGGTGCCTCGTACAGAGCATAAAACCTGCAATCATTGGGAAGCCGCTTGGTGGGACTGATCCTGAAGTCGTTGTGGGGATGCGCAGGGACATTTTTATCACTGCTCGGCAAAGAAATGCATGGCAGGGAATGGCCCCCGACTCTGGAAGGCCAGGAAGGGAGAGCTGGCCACTGCACAGCTCCAGAGGATGCCCTTTGCTGAAGCACCACTCCTGGGCAGCAGAGAAGCAGCCGCCCTGAAGAACACCACCAGGAGCAGCAGCTAACATGTGCTGTGCACTCACATCAAGTCAGTATTGGGCTAGATTCTTCATGTGCATTGAACTGCTTCATTCTCATTACTCTGGCCTAAGTACTATTTGTGCCTATAATAGATGAGCCTTCTGAGGTACAGTGATTTGCCCACAGTCACAGAGCAGTAATGCTGGAGGTCATTGTGGGACCTATAATTTACCCATTATGTGACTCCAAATTCTAAAACCAGGTTCAAATCAACTTGGGCCTCAGGTTACGTCAGTGGATAAATGATGATGTGAGAATGAAATCCTACACCCCTGACACTTACCTCAGCCTCCCTGGCACTGCCTCAAAGTTGCTTCTGTGCTCACCTAGCTTGGGATGACAATATTATTCAGCCACTCTATGTTTTTAGTCAGATAATTAATGTCATGAGATCTGAAAAAATTATAAAGGGATCTTTCCTATAATAAATGAACAATTTTGGTGTGGCCAAATCCAACTCACTAACACTGACCTGCCTGGAGGGGGGTGTGGGGCAGGGGGTGGGAATCTGTCAGGAAATACTGTTGCAAAACACAAAGAAAATCAAGAAAATGCTTTTTAGTAAGTTTTTATCTCCTGTACAGTCCGGTGGTATTACATGGTTTTTGTTTGTTAGCTTGCTTGTTTTGTTTGTTGAAGATACTCTGGTGCTCAGCTGGCGTTCCAAGCACATCCTGGAGCCATTGGCTCTGGCAGTGAAAGTTCATGCCCTGCAGCGGCTCTAACAAAGGCCCACAAAATGCGCTTGAGAGGAACACAAATTTCTTGTAGTTAGAGTCAGGAGTCTGAAGTCAGTGTCACTGGGCTGAAGTCAAAGATGTTGGCAGCAGCGATTCCTTCGAGGGCTCTGGGGGGGAATTTTTTTGTTCCTTGCCTCTTCCAGCTTCTGGTGGGCGCCGGTGCCCACAGGGCTGCGGCCGCTCGTGCCAGTCTTTGCCTCTGCAGTGACACTGCCTTCTCCTCTGTGTCAAGTCTCCCTCCACCTCCCTCTTGTAAAGACTCTTGTGATTACAGCTGGGCCCACCTAGATAATCCAGGGTACTATCCCCGTTTCCAAGCCTTAACTTCATATCTGCACGGTACCTTTTGCTATATTAAGGCAACATTCACAGGTTCCAGGCACTTTCTAGAAAGACATCTAGATAGCTTTGGGCCCATTT